ATCTTTTTTCATTTTAAAATCCCAAAGTTACATATGGATAGATTTGAAGAATGTTTGAGGCCTTAAATGATAGCCTGTATATCTTGGAATGCTGCATGAATTGACACCAACATTTCTCCAGACATGTAGCAACTGGCTTAGTGAAATTATTATTACTGTAGCTCTCTCTCTCCATCTAACGCTGAACCATTGGACTAAAACTATATAATGACGCAAAATATTTTTTTTCAATACTAAATATAATGTGACATGAATAAATATTGCATAAAGCCATTCTGCAAACTTATTTAATGATTAAAACTTATTAATAAATAAATTTATTCACAGTTCAATTAGATTTAATCAGTTTTTGCTTTGAAATCATCACTATTGCAGTGCATGACGACCTCCAAATAAAATTTGAATATCCATTTACTTCCTAAATTTTCAACTTTTTAATAATTATAATAAAATCTATTAGACTAAGAATTTTCATTATTTCTCCGATATTATTTATTTATTTATTTACTGGTAAATTTCACAAATGTAGTTAATGTTTCACTAGTCTTACCTGAAATGGCCTTGGCTGAATTTTCTTTCGTACTCTTCATGTCTTTTATTTGTGAATTCAATACACTTTGAATTAAAACATCATAAATTATCATTCCACAATTATTTCATTTTTTAAAATGCAATTAATGGATAGTTCAAACAAAGACTTTAAAACATTTTAAAGAATTCAAGAGTGGTTGATTATTTTAGATGACCAACATTTTTACTTTCTTTTAGCAGATTTTTGCTTCATAATATTCAGCCCTTTTTTTTTTTTTTTTTTAACTTTCTGTAATAATGTGTTGTTTGTAAACAATAGCACTGCAAACATTGCCTCTTTTGTACTGAACTAGACTAGGAAATTTTTAAAGCTGCAGTTAGATATTAATAAATTTTACCCAAAACAAATTCCTATATTTACATTTTATTCTCTTATGAGCATTTTTATCAAGTTTTGAAAACATTTCAGATAAATAAAGAAAGCGAATGATATATAAATACAAAGATTTGAAAAAAAGACTAATTGAAAACAGCAAAAAAGATGAGAAACAACAGCTGAAATTTACCGAATATTGTCAAATGAAATATTATTAGTGCCATTTTATGGCAGAAATGTTTGTCAAAGAATTCAAGATTATCAAGTATGTAGAACCATTGGATGCTGTACTATTGAAATTTTATCGCATTTTTCACGATATACTCAGAATTAATAAAAATCACATATCTGAAGTTAATATTGAATGCCTTCTCAAGAAATTAAATTTATTTGCAATGAAAGACTGAAAACCATTTTGAGCATATTTTGGACAATATTTTTAAAGGTATTCCATATACTTTTCAGATAATATTTATAATAAAATCACTATTTATGCTCAACTGTTATTTAAATGTAGCTGAAACTATGCTAAGAAATTTAGAATAATAATAAGGAAAAATAACTTTAAAAAGTAATAAATTTGATACAGAATGTATTAATTTATAAGTCAAACAAAAAATCACTGTTATATCTTATCTTAATTGATACAGAATGTTTGATTTTACAGCACTTGTGTAAAATCTGCTGCAGTTTAAAAATTTTTTGTACACAACAAAAAAAGATAAATAAACCAGTAACTTTAAAGACATAACTTTCTTTAAAAAAGTCAAGAATTGAAATTTGAACTATGCTTCATTACAAATTTCATTTGCAGCTTGTAGAAAAATATCCATCTCTACATATAATAAAAGAAAGAGTCTGTCTGTGTGTTTCTTTTGTTTGTGCTGTGCGTAAATTAATAGACCCAGGGCTACAAAATTTGGTACATAGAGGTGCATCTAGACAAGAGCCAGTGCACCTCGATGTGATTTTTCAAAATTCAAATAAGATTTTTTTTTTAAATTTTATTTTTTGATGAAATCAAATCATTTTGAATAGTTTCATTCTTTTAGGAATGTGGTTTTGGAAACAGTTTTTCATTCAATGCTTTGTATACCAGAGTGCTGACTGTTGAAAATATGAAATAAAATATTATTAATTATACACACACATTGCAATCTTCTTATTCCGTCCTGCGTGTATCTCGCGAGGCACAACAGAAAGAATTTCCTTTTCCCCCCTCTCTCTTTATTAGTTAATGGCAAAGAGGTTTGTATATTTTGAATTATGTCATACACAAAGCCCAATTTTGACTGGTTATTGCTTTCTAATGATAGTTTCATTCTTTTAGAAACATGGTTTCGGCAACAATTTTTTATTCATTGCTTTGGATACTGGAATGCTGACCATTTTCTCTTGAAAATATGAGATTTATTGCTTATTTCATTATAATTTTTTATATTATGTCTTGATTATATAAAAAGTTTTGTATGATTTTTTTAGGAAACAAAGTTCTTAACTTCCTTTATACCATCTGAATTATTAAGATTTTGCAATGGGAAGTTGGTTAATTTATTTATTAGGATAATTAATATTCATGTTAAAGGATATTCCTTATTTCATTGTAATTTTTTTATATATATAATATATTTTTATTGAAATTTCTGTTTTTTTATTATTATTTTTTTTATATAAAGTTGTTCCGCAAAGTAAAATTCTGTGCAGTTTTTAAATTTAACGTTTGGTGTTCGCTTTAGGCATTTTTATGGTACATTTAAAAGCCAGACAAAGGCTGGCTGTGTAGCGGCTAGTATTTTATAAGAAATTTTACATTTTAGAAATTAATCTCTAAGGTAATGAAAGTAATCTGTATTTCTGAGAACATGACTAAATAATGGCACTAAATATCACTGGTTCACTAACGTTACAAATTCCAAATTTTTTCCCAACAATAAGTAAATATCAAGTTGCAACGGAAGTTTTTCGCGATGGCAAATATCGTCTGGGTAAACAGTTTACATTGGGGTGTTTAATAATATTTTGTCAAACGATTTCTGGCACTTGAAAGTAAGAGACTTTCTTTATAATACTGTGTAGTGAAATTTGTAAAAAAAAATGTCGTTATCATTAAGTACAAGGTGCCTAAAATGGAATTATCAACCTACCAGATTAGAATCATCATTTACTTCCAGTTTTGCTACAAAAAGTCAGCTACAGAATGTAACCAAATCATATGTACACCTTAAGGTCCTAATGCTGTATCATACGATACTGCGAAGGTTTGGTACTGAAAGTTCAGAAACAAGGACTATGACTTTCCAGAAGCACAGCGCTCTGGCTGGCCTACAGATCTTGATGAGGGCCGCCTGCACAAACTTGTAGATCAATATGCAATTACTTGAGAGCTTGCTAAGGAGTTAGATGTTAGAGCCATGTCCATTAGTCGCGCTATGCATCGTATAAACTTGACGTGCATGCTCAATTCATGGGTGCCGCATGGAATGACTTAAGCAGATAAGGACAAATGTGTTCAGGCCTGCCCTAATCTGCTCTATCAATGCACGGACAACATTCTGGATAGAATCATCACTTGTGATAGTGGATTTACTTACAACGATGAAAGGGGGGTTAGTCTGTGCCCACTAAGCCTGTTGGTAGCATTGCAGAGTGTAATTTGATTAATAAAAATATGCTTTATATCTGGTGGGATTTCCATGGTATTATTCACAAAGATTATCTGGAAAAAGGTAAAACCCTTCACAGTAAAGTGTACAGCAAAATGCTAGTTCGTGTTGACACTGCTGTCAAGGAAAAATGTCGAACTGAGTTCTGGCGCAAAAAGGTAATGTTCCATCAACATAATGCAAGACCGGTGTCTGCATTCACCAGCTGGACTCTGTACAGACTTGAATGGGATCTTTTGCCACACCCACCACATAGCCCTGACATCATTCTTTCAGACTTCTACCTGTTATATGAAAACTGCAAGTCTTGCATTGTTCAGGTAATCTCATGTTTATTAGAAAATCCCTCGAATAAGCAATCAGCACCAGTTAAAAATGCTTCCTTTCACTTTTTTGTGAGCATGTGAGAAATTTTAAAAGAAGCAACAGTGGCATTTTTACATATTACCACAAGCTTAGTGAAAACTCACTGTTGAGCACACGAATTTGATTTTAGCTGATATGTCTTCTTACTTCAGATTAAAATAAACAGATCGTATTAAAAGTAGCATCAATTGTCTGAACATTATGTTTTTTCAACATTATGTTTCAATGTTACGTTCAACATTATGTTTTTTCAGCATTGCAATGCTACTTTCACACAACAAACAAATACATTTATCTCTAAAATTGATAAAACAATATAATTCTTCCCAGTCAGTATTAAAATTATAGATTCATTTACATGACTTGCTCATTTTGCAATTAAAATAACAACGCATATAAAAACAATTAAGGAAACAGGTATACGGAAAATATGAGCGCAGAATCAGCAAAACATATAACATGGCATTTTTGGAAATACCCATTAAATGGAGATTCCACTTGATAAATGGCACTGAAACACAGAACAAATAATCATGCTTTGCATGTGGCGCCATGTACGAGGCATATATTATGATATTACAGAGAGGCATTAAACTTATTTTTAATGACTGAATATTTGACATTTTAAAATTTTTTAACAAATAGCAGGGACAAAATGACTAGGTGGCTGGAGCACCAGGACCATAATTTCAAAGTATGATAATCCTGGTCAAATTGGTATGTCTGATAAGCGTATTCAAAATGATGAACATATTATTATATATAAATAATTTTTTTACACAAATATGCTTATATATAAAAATTATGTAATATTTTATTAAAAACATAATTTTTTTTATTGTAGTCACACAATAGAGGCATGTATAAAACAGTTGGGGCTGCAGTGGTGCTTATGGTTTTGAACCCCTGAACTAGCATATTCATGTGCAATAAAACAACAAATATTTTTAACATATATAAAAAATGTTAAGAATTTATAAATATATCGATGCCATTTATTAAGTAAAGTTGAATAGGAAAAATGATTTTAATACATCAAAGGATTACAAATAAGGAAAACACACCTGAAGTAACCAATGTGATATAAATCTCCACCATCAAGTTTAATTACAGTCTGAAACTCTGGAGGATCATAATAATATCTCCAATGACAGTGAAGTACAACTTTTTTATCATCAAGCAGTTTTTTTGCCAAAATATCATAAACACCAACAAGATGATACCCAAGTTCAGCAAATGCATCTGAAATTAGATATATTTAACATCAATTTACATTTACATATTAAATTTGCAAAATATATTTTTCATATCTTTAAATTAGATGCAATCTTAATAAATTTTTTAGATATATGTATTAAAGTGAAATTTGAATGTCATTCCTACAGTTTCATACAGCAATGGTTTAAAACATTAATAAGTATACATTTTTAATTACTGCAGTTCCAGAACGCCATTTTACATATATCATTTTTGTTCTATACAGAAACTTACACGAAACACTGGGTACATACGTATTATCCTGTTGACAGTGAACACTAGATACCATCGAACTACAAAAATTGGCAGAGATCCTGTCAAAGTCTCGCCAATCATTTCTGTGGAATTCTGAAAGAAGTGAGATGACTCTTTATTTAATAAACAATCAGTATTCAACCATCTTTGTAAAAAGGCTTTCACCGATTTCTAGTATTTTGCCAGGCGTTCCAATTTTACTGGAAACTCTGTTTAAAATGCATTGAGTACAAACTTTACCCCCAGAAAATTATTCCAATCTTTTTCTTTTTCAAAATGTAAGGAAAAAATACAGCTCAGTTTATTTGTATCCTTGTTCATAAAAACATTTAGCTGTCTGATCGAAAATAAGGGTTACGTCAAATTAAAGTGCAGATGTTATCAGTTGTTGTTATTATCATGCTTATCCATAATTAGAGCTAAATCATGGTTAACACATAATACATAAGTACCAAACATTGTTTGTTATAATAAACTAATAGAATATATTATTTTGACATTTAACAAAGGGAAAAAAATTGCACAATTCTAAAATCTGCTGCATATTGCATTAATGGATAGAACTCTTGAACTGAGATTGAAACTTGTTAAATTTGAACAAGTCATTTTTATTTAATTATTATACTAGCATTAAATAAAGCCAGTAAATAACTATTTTTTGAAATGTATGTAAAGAGGGTTACACACAGTTATATTATGGCACTAAAATTAAAAGTCACCAGCCTTATAGAAAGACATGTCCTATTAATGAACTTTCTAAGAGAAATTAGATCTCGGTTCAATCAAGTATAATGGCAAATCCATTTGAATAACATCCTCAGGCTTAAGATAATGTTGCGGACGTAGGGATAGATTCGTAATAGATTGAATGCACAAATCCGATAACCAATATATATTATAAGTGTACAATGTGAGTGCTGCTAAAACTCAAAAACGAATCCCAGTATGATCAAGGAAGTTAACCCTCATGCCTCCATCCATGAAGAAGGCTCCCATTTTTACCTCAAGGGCGTGCTTTTGAAGATATAAGGGCTAGAAGTTTCCCCATCTAAAAATTTCTAAAACAGTCCAGAATATTCGAGAGCATTCTACAACATCCCAGATCATTGTGGAACATTCCAGAACACTCTTGAATGTTGTGCAACGTTCTGGAACATTGTGGACCACTGAAGCATTTTTTTATGGGTCGGGCTACCAATTGGTAGAGGTATATAAAGCAAAATCTGGCATGGATTCAAAAGCAAGTTTCTTATCAGTAAAGAGCAATGAGTGAATAAAAACAGTGAAGCGTGAATAATCAAAGTGATACAGTGACTGAATATAAATCGAGAATAAAATGTATAAAGTGTACTTTGTGTATTTCTTAATAAAAGGTTGATTTGAAAGTCGACTAAATAAAAGTTGACTTATTGTTAGGGTATATAAAGCAAAATCCATCATGGGTTTGAACATTAATTTTTTACCAGTAAAGTGCAATCAGTCAATAAAAGCAAATAGTGAAGTGTGAGTAATCAAAGTGATAGACTGGATATAAATTGAAAATAAAGTGTGAAAAGTGTATAAAGTGTACTTAGTGTATTTCTTAATGAAAAGTTGATTTGATTTATATTTTATAGAATGCCCAAATGTAAAAGAGAATGAGATCTTGCCAGTTTTGAAGTAAAATGGCAAAAATAAAAAAAACAGCAAAAAAATGAAACCATCGAAGAACGTGAAGACACATATTTACGTTCCCAAAGAAGGAGAATGAGCACCGTGAGAAGCAGAGAAACCGAAGAACAACGGAATGAACAAATTGAAGAATCAAGAATTGTGACACAATCTCATAACAAAAGACTGCAAATGCAAGCCACCCATGAAAATATCACCCCATGAGAAGCATTGATGAGGACAAGTAGACAGTACAACCTTCAAATGAAGCATTCTGGAAACTAAAAAGAATATTTTTGATGAAATCAACTTTAATATTCAAAAGAAAATTCCTGGTGGAGAGAGAAGATACAAATTGATTGACATGATGGTAAACATTGAAGAAAGCATTAACTTCCCTACATAATTTTTAAACTTTTTGCAAGTACCATTAATTCTATTTCACTGCCTTCGACTGAAAACTTGATCTCCAATGATACTACTCAGAAATCTCAACTCATCAAAACTATGTAATGGAACAAGGATAGTTGTCAAACATCTATTGAAAAGCATGATCGAAGACGAACTCATGCCTGGAAAGGGCAAAGGACACACAGTATTAATCCCCAGAAAACCACTGATATCTATTGAACTGCCATTCCAATTTAAAGGACTGCAAATTTCAATCAAATTAGCCTTTAGTTTTACAATTAACAAAGTGCAAGGATAAACTTTAAAACATTGCATCATCAACCTCAAAAGCTCCTGCTTTTCTCACGGTCAGCTGTACGTAGCTTGCTCTTGAGTAGGAAGTTCAAAAAATCTGTACATTTATACCCTGGATAAGAAAGTGAAAAATGTTGTTTATAAACAAGTACTGTAAATACAGTGGAACCTCGAGATACGAGCACCTCCATATACGAGATATTCGAGATACTAGGAAAGTATGAGTGAAAAATGTGTCTCTAAATTCCAGCATTGACTCAACTAACGAGCAATGAGCCAGGCTGTTGGTATGAGTTGAGCCACTTCCCAATCCGGCTCGACTGGAGGAATCCCTTTGTCAGATCACTCGGTGTTCTTTGATCTACATGTTTGTGTGCATGTGAGTCAATTATTTATTACATATAATGTGAAAATAATTATTTCACAATACCTCACAGATAGTGCTGCAAAGAAAAATAAGGAAGCCATGGCTGTTGAAATTAAGAAAGAAATCATAGATAAACAAGCGTGGTGTAAGTGTGACGGAATTGGCAAAGACTTACTTTCGACATCGACAATCTGCAGTGTTCTGAAGAAGCAGGAAGAAATTAGTAACCAAAGGAGTTACTGTTATTTCCAAGCACCGTTTAAAAACCCTAGATGTTGAGAAGCTGTTGTTGGTGTGGATTAATGAGAAGCAGTTAAAAAGTTGGTGTTGGATGCTATCATAAAGGTAAACTACAGTTATATTATTTACCAGTGTCAGTTATTAGAAAAATTGATTTTTATATTGATATTTTTGGTGATGTGGAATGGATTAACTGGATTTCCATTATATTCAATGGGGAAGTTTGTTTCTAGATACAAGAAATTCACTACATGAGCTCAATGCAGGAACGAATTAAACTCATATCTCGAGGTTCCACTGCAGTTAGAATATGTTTTCAATAAAAAATTACCTCTCATATTTTAAAGTTTATCCTTTCATTCCAACTACCACACAATTTCATATCAACTTCCTGAGCGAAGCCAGGTACCCCAGCTAGTAGGTTAATAAAATGTATTCTTATCAAAAGAAATATATGAGAATGTTTGAATTTTCCACTTGAAGCGCTTGCATGAATATCAAATGCTTGAATGCTTTATATTCATACAAGTGTTCATGATATCACGCAGTACAACCAGTAGTCATACTTCAATCTACTAACAACATTAGAATACAATGCAATGGGAAGCGTTATCTACAGAGAAAGCTGCTTCAGTTATCTAAGTTAACATGGAACTAAATAAATCTCAATAACATTAACTAAACAACTAAGCTGAGATGTTTCTAAATAGTTTTCAACCAACCGAGTGAAATAGTTCTTGCATTTTCTGCTTCTCGAAATTTCTGGAACCAGTAAGAGGATGGAATTATGGTTAGAGCTAACATAGTGGTCAATTACATTTATTCAATTTCAGTACAAATTACCTAGATATCCATTTATTCAATGTTAAATGCCCTCATGCTTCAGTACTTTTACTTTTCCGGTAGAGCTTTCTCTTAAAATTTGTCTCGTGCTGCACTGCACGAGGAAATATAACAATTTTAATTATAATTCTACTAAAATTATCTAAGTATAAATTCGTAACACTGCCCCCTTCCCAAGGACTGCACGTCCCAGAAAGTACAATCCCTGGACAGGAAGTCATACTTACAACTAGAGATCCGTTCACAAGAGCAGATTCAACCGGCAGGGAAAACCGGTTCTTCCAATGTGTTCCAGTCACATGGTGAACAAGCATTAACTGCTTCTCGGAATTGGAGTTAAAATTTGCTAGAATGCACCTACCTTTCTACAAATGGAGAGATTTCCAATACTACTCTGCACAATTGGGCGATTCACTTAATTTTAGCAAATAGCTGACGTACAACTGACTGCTTGCTAGACTGTCAGCAAAACAATCACATTGATAGATGTCTGGGGATGTTATAACATCGCCCCCCCCAAAATTAGATGGAACTGTACAAGATATGGAAATTTACAAAAAAAAAAAAAAAAAAAAATACAGATAAGGTTATTTGATACTGGGTATTCCAGAAATATCATTCCAATTAAAACTAAAGTTAAAGCAAGTGCATATCATCTTCATTGCAACAAGGGCACCAACAACAAGGCTTCAGTGCACCTTTTGCATGATTTTTTTTTTATTTAAGAACTTGCATTCACTTTTCATGAATATTATTAAATGGTTTTACAATTTTAAGGTGAAACAAAATTTTTGCCAGGAATTTTTTTTAATTAACATTTTTTGAAGAAAAATTTAACAATTCAAATGTCTTTCTTCTCCTACAATTTTCAATGTTGCCCACCCCCAAATTTTCATTGTATTTTAGAGTGTTCTTAATAAAGTCA